AAGCCAAGCAGAGAACTTTGTAGTGAATGCACTAGAGAGCTAATCAGAGTTCTTATACAGCAGGGTAAACCCGGTGAAGGCAGTTTCTGGGAAGATCAGAGAGGCAGACATGATAGGGCAGTCATCCAGGGAGAGGTGATGGAGGTCTGCAATGGAGTGAGTAAACCCCAGAAGAGTCATGGAGTCCATCACTGGAGAGTGAGATACACGGAGCACTGAGGCTACCCTCCGCTGAGCATGATTTGATCTGTCCTTGCCTAACATTACTACAAATCATTAGTCAGAGGAGCAGTTTTCACTCTATGGTATTATAACTGTTGACTTTAGGAATTTGAATGTATCTTTACCATGGGACATAAACCAAAATTAAAATTCTTACTACATGCTTTTTTCTCTTTTGTCTCTCATGCTCTAAAAATGAAGTACACAGTGCAAGAAAAAAAAAATTCTTAAAGGAACCCAGTGTCAAACCTGCCTAGTAAATTATTAAATAATGAAGTTGACTTCCATAAGCCACTAGGAAATTTAATTCTTCAAACAGGTTCCTGAGTAGTGGTCAGACATCATGGAGGTCTAGGGGTTGTGAATGTCAGTTTCCTCATTTAAAGGGTTAGAAAACTAAGAGTCACGAAGTTTCTGTTGTACTTTAATTACGGGAACCTTTTGAAATGATGCATGTATGAGAAATGAATGATTTTTATAATATCCAAAAAGAGACTTTACACAGGAAGAGGCTGAAGAGGTAGCCTTCAAGAAAGTATTTATGTGTTTGAAAAACTTACCTAGTTTTCACACTATTACACTACAGTGTTTATGAATAATTATCACAGTCAATACTTGGAAAATAATAGTGAAGTTCACTGGATCTTAAAGTTACTGTATTTTATATTTTGTAAATGAAATTGCTTTCATTTCTCCAAAAGGTTAATATATTTCAAAGCACAGATAAATGTTTGGAAAAAGGATGCATAGCCTTTTAACACTTCTCACACCTGTTGCTTTCAAACATGTCAGTAAATAATTTCTGGAAGGGTTACTACATCACAAAACCTCAGAAGTGCTTCAGGTTTCAGTTAAGGCAGCTTTCTTTCACCATATGGTTTACGGAAAGTGGATTAGCATACTTGAGAATTTAGAATTATGGTGCTGAAAGGATTTAAGTAAATGTTGGGGCTTTATTTAAGTGTAAAATAATACACTAGCAGAGAGAGAAGCTTTAGTTAATGAGTAAACATGGGCATATGCTTACTATTGTGTTGGATAAAGTCTGTGTTTCACTTTATCAGAACTAAAAAGCTAATCTTCTTTTCCTGCCTTATTACACACTCACTTTAATTTATTGCTTAATAAATATTAATTGGGGCCTAACATTTTAACTATCAAGTAAAACACATTAAATGATTTTAATGGTGTGAGAATTAAACACAGGAGTCAGATTGCAAGTATTCAATGCTACCTTACTATTATTTTCTTGGATTACTGGGCAAATTTGGCTTCTTTGACTGCCACATTACATTTTGCCTCGAAGCCATCCATTTTGCAGATATTGAATTTCTTTTGAGTGCTATTTTTATACAATAAGCGTCACTACACCTTTGGATCTTGATAGCATTACTGCAGGAGGAGAAAGCAGCTTTATGTTAGTAATTACCTAACATTGTCAGAAGCTGACTGCAGGCCTCTTTCTAGTGATAACAGAATAACCGCATAATGTAGCTTTATAGCACATGATTAATAGAAAATAATTACACGTCCTACAAAGGGATGCAATATTTCTTATAAATTGACTAGAATGGTTTCCTGTAGATTAAAGGACTCTTCATTATTTTATCAGTTCTCCTGAAGTACAGTAACTTGCCTATGTTAGCATTTCAGTTGATGTTAAGAGTTGAATAGGGTGAAGGATGCCAGATGGCAGATCTTCTTGTACCTAAGATCTCGGGTGCAATAAAGATGACATGATGCTTCCTAACCTGTCAGAGATTTAGATGGCAGCCTGGTATGGTTCGTCTCTTTAATTTTTTGTTTATTGAATAAGATAAGGCTTGATTCATTCATTTATTTATTTATTCATTCATTCATTCTGATCCACCTGTGACTTTATAGAACAATACATGTGGACTGTAAGAAAAATTGTATCGATCACATTATTTTCTACTGTAAGTAATCTATTATTCATAATCACATTTGTTTGGGGCAGCAAAGAGGAAAGGCAAATACAGGCTGATTTTCTTCTTCAGAAGGAAACCTTATGTGATGTTGAATCTTCAGACTGAAGTTCAGAATATGCTACTCCAAGAAGCATTTTCATTCAATTTATAGGCTGCAAATGGTTTAATTGGGATTCATGTTGCTCAGGAGGCTCATCCAGAGAATGGTAATGATAAAAGGAAAGCTCCTGTGTTTGCAGTCTTGTCGACATACTCTAGTGGTGGCAGAGTAAATCCATAAATTTGACTCCTAGATATTTTACCTCCCCATATTTTATCTTATCTCCTAATTCCACACAGGAGTATTATGTGGAATTCTTTACAAATGTAAAGTAATAAATATTCTGATTTTTATTTTTGCCTTCTCTGATTTAAATCTGATACTTTGGAATACTTTCATGAGGTGTGTATTTCATACAGTTTCAACTATTTTAAATTAATCTAAGCATTTAAGATACTAATGTAACATTTTTTTCTTCTTGAATGTTACTTTTAAGGGATTTGTGTACAGCTGAATAAGCTCCTCCCTGCTGTTTCCTACTGTGCTTTCTACTTAATGAACCTTCCTTGTCTACCATAGTCTAGAATTCCCTCAGGTGTGGATTCTCTCTGTTCTGTCTCTGTCATTTGTGCTTTGTCAGTGTGATTTGTTGGAAATCAGTTCTTAAATTTGGATGAGTGACGTTTCAAGAGTATTATACCCTTAGTGGACAGTACAGATCATTAACTAAAGTAGAACATTATAAAGACATACGAACCTTCTGACTTGTGATTTGAATGTAAACATTGTCACCCAGATTGAGGGCCATTCCCTCTGGAAGCAGGTTTGGGTCAATGTCTTTTCACTAAATATTTTCTGTATCTACCATTGGAAGGCTCTTCAAATAATCAATTTGAAAATTCTAAGATTGTCAGTGGGTAAGAGCTTTCACACTCACACTTTTCTATTAATTATCCATTTTTACAATTTACAATATGGACCTTTGGTCTATGGAAGGTTAAGTACTTTTGTTTTGCTAAGCATTAGGCTCTAATTATATTCATTGCCTTAAAAATGGAAAAGGGAAGTTTTATTATGTACCTATTAGTATATAATGGTTGCTAATCATAGCTTTCAGTAAGTTGGTATTTTCTTCTGATGAATATATTCTACATAGATTACATTCATCATCATTGAGTTCTGGACTCACAGTATTCTTGTTGCTTAGACAGTTTTGTCCACTAAGTTCACATTATCAGTGAACTTTTCAACCTGATAGCTTGAGTCTGCTGCCTCACAAAGCAGAGCTATGCCTTCATTAGAGTAAGAAGTAGTACAGGGTTAGTCTTTTCTCCCTCATTTCCCTCCACTTTGCTCTTCTAATAAACCTAATTCTGACATTGCCCAAAATTCTGACATTTTCTCCTATAATTCCTCTATTGGTAGACTATCAATACATGTATGCTATTGTTGCCACACTATGTTGAAAAGTTGCATTATTTTCCTTTCTGATGGTCAGTAGCATACTAATCAGTACAAATGTTCAGTCTGTACTAGTATTAACCTTCCCTCCCCACATGTAACTCAATATGCATATGAACATTCATCTATGACTCAGACATTGGAAAATCATAACCTATTGAATTACTTTTGGGATTGATTTTAAAAATTTATCTTCTATGAAAAATTAAATTTTGGCCCTACAGTGCTTGTGGAGAGTATTGCTTTTGGAAGATATCATTCTTGAAACTTGTGATTCATTTTACTTTGTATCTCACTAAACATAAATAAATTTGAGATAAAAATACATTAGTCAATCTGGCAGATGTATGAGCCTGGTTATAAAGTGTTTGTGATGCCTAAAGCAGTGGTATGTCTGTCAATGGGGGATAAAGGGAAAGAAGAGGCACGGGTTTGTTTATCTCATGTTTCAAAGTAAATGTAGAAGTGCCTCATCAATCACTCTTTTTTACAGCTAGATTAATATTTTGCCTTTAAAACTTGAGATACTTTTATTTCCTATTGATCTTCCACTATAAAGGTGAATCTAATACCAACTTAAATTCTTTCCAGTTATCCTTTATCTCATTGGTTTATGATTAATAAAAAGAACAATGAATACCTTAGGCAAGTTATTCTAAAGGAATCTATTTGTATATTATTTTGAAAGCAAATTGTATTGTATTAGTACTCTCTAATTTATCTGATTAAAATGAATATATTAGATTTTCTTAAGGCATTCGAAAGAAGTTCTAAAGAACTTCTTAAGAAGTGCATTCTAAATCATTTTAGTTCATATAAGTTTAAATAGGAAGTAAGTATTTTGTTGCAAAAAATGATCCTTGTTAGATAATAAAGGCACATATAGTACCTTTGGGATCCTGACTTTATAGACTTTTGCACTCGTGCTTACACATAAAAGATATCCCTAGGCTCAGGGGTGGGGAGAAGGGAGAAGAGATGAGGTAGAGATAGTGGTAGAGAAATGGAAAGGGGCGGGGTGGGGGGAGGGAACACTCTAGAGAACTGGCTTCCTGAAGCAGTTTCCTTTCCCAGCTTCTTACCACGAGTGAGTGACTGCCTCTGTATTCTACAGAGTAATAAACAGGCTTTATGTTATACATTAATTTAAATCTTTGCCTAACAGCATTTTTAAAGTGTCTAGAAACAAAAAAGATGAGAATGTTTCCATTTGCAGCTCAAGCTGTTGTAATTTTATCAAAAGAAATAACATTTCTAAGAAGTTGCATACAAACCACATTGTACTTACACTAGTCTAAAGGTTAATATTGCATATTGTTTTCAATTAGGAATACAATAGATATGGCTGGTGGGTAGGAGAAATGAAGGGAGCCATTGGCTTGGTGCCTAAAGCCTACATAATGGAGATGTATGATATTTGAGAGTCCTGGGTAAGTACATTTTAATCCAATATTCTTGTTATAGCTCATATGCTCTCTTGGTCTCTTCCTTGTGAGTCTTTGTCTTAAGTCGTCATGGTTTTCTGATAACACAAAGATGGTGCCACACATCTTTTTCTGTTTTATTTAATCTTTAATTTTAAAAATATCTTCACACAATTAACTTTGGAAATGAATAGATTATTTAGAGAACGTTCCTTTGATAATAACAAGCTGTTTCCCCAAATCTCTTCCTCTTTAATAAAATACCACTTTTATGGGCTTTCTGAGGATCTGAGTTGACAGTGTTGAGAAAACATTCATTTTTCCTTGACTAAAAGTGTAAATTTTTTCTAAGCTGCAAAAATCAACATTTCTACTGAAGAAAGTTATTAAAACTCAACTTTCCCTTTCTGCCAGCAGAAAAAGAAGAGTCTTCTGCTTGTCTGCAAATGCTTTGGATTTAGAAGCCCCATGAAAGCCTGAGTGACAGCTCATAACCTTTCTTTGTTTTGTCGAATGTCCCTCATCTTCGACTATTACTTTGTACAGTCGTTCATTAAAATAGTCCTCTGATGTGAAATCAAATGAGCGTTATTAATGTAAATTAGATGCAAGCAGTAAAGTTATACCTGTTGCTGTTTTGCAAAGAAATAATTACAATTTTTATTTACCCATTTGATTGTCTGAAGAACTCATTATTATTTTATATGGACCATACAGTCATTGCTACTTCTAGTGTGAATTGTAATTTCACTTAATCATTAGACATCAGTTATTTTTTAGAGTGTAGTACATAATTCTATATAATTTTAATTGAAATTATCATGCAAGTTTTTGGTATGTGCTAAAGAATGTGTTTATGTTAAAGCTTTATGGATCATTTACTTTAGTATTTTTCTCATAGTAGTAATGTGATTCAAGAAAGAAATTTTATAAATTGGCAAATTTACTTCTTGTTAAATGTAACCATAAGAAAGAAAAAAGTGATAGAACTACCAGTGGCAGTGTGCTGTCCAAGTGCAAACCAGAAGCATTTTTGTGCAAAGCACTTTACCAAAACAGATATTTTGGTTTGCTCATAGATTTGTCAATGCTTTCTTCCACAGTTCTATTTCAGTTTAATGAAATAAAAGATTCATAAGAAACCCTCTTCTACCACTATATAATGTAAACAGTTTCAAAATATTCTCAAGAGAAGAAGACATAACCAAGGAATCTCCTATCATTGTTATGCTATTAAAGTCCCACTGTAGCAGCAGAACTTCAGATTGGAATCTCCCCTGCATTTCTCAGAACACTGAAAAGAAAATGAAGGTTCAGAGAGGAAAGGGTAGAAATCACAGCAGGAACATGTACCAACAGGTGAAAGGAAGGAGATAAACAGTGACCTGACATCTGAGCTATACTCACTGCTGCTTGAGTGAGATCTAAAGAATCTTATCATCACTTTTTCGTGTGTATTTTGCCTACGAAGTCCTAGTATGGTCTTAATATATGTCAAAATGTGTTACTGACTTGTTATTTGGAATAGACATACTTTCCTAATACTAATCATTACTTTGCAGGTACTAGCTTTGTTGAACTTTTTAGATCTTTGCTTTATCAAAGTAAAGATTCTAACCATACAAATAAACTGAAAACTGTTGACAGACAATATTAGAATGTTTGTTTTCAATTATCTTCTAAATACCATGATCATTCAGTTTCAAATGTGAGGGCAAAAGCCTAACTTTAGGGATTTTGAGTAAACTCAAGTTTGTATATATTGACACATCAAGTTAAGGATTTTAGAAATGACATGTGTATAGTTGGTACCCTTTTCCTAATATGTTGCCACTGAAATAGATGGAAATTGTCTTGGCAAAAGTTAGCCAGAGAAGAACTTAATGGACTGTTTTTCAAAACTGGGTGACAGAGAAGCAAAAGTAGTCACTTACGTTGCTGCCTGACTTGTAAATGCAGGTTTTGTGCCTCAAATTTAAGTAAAGTTTTTAGTCCTGGGCCGGTAGATGGCAGCAGCTTGTCACTGCATACAGCATCACTTGGCACCCCTCCCCCACCCAACTTGCCCAGAATGTACAAGTGTCTGAGAGATTTCTGCTTCCTTTACCGCTAATCCAGGAGAGGGAGTCCTTTGCCAACTGATGACTAATACTTATGAACCAGATAGTCTGTCTGTGAATGGTGACAATACAGAAATACAGTGCTACTTCTGCCCAGAACTCCTCTGGCCTTTGTTCTTTTTTAACTGGAGTGTAGGTAAAAGATATAAGAAAGGAGACAAAAGATTTTAAATTGCAGTGACAGAAAAAATAATCATCACTTTCGATTCATGACTACTTTATATTCATTTGATGAAATCATTTGTATACTACCAAGGAGAAAGTTTTCTTTACACCCTTGACAATATATTACATACTCTTCAAGATCATAATAATATCATTAATGTGAATTTAAACAACATGGCTTGTTAGAAAATATGCTAATTGTTATGTTCTCATTATGTTTGCTTAGAGATTTTATTTGTTTTTATATGAACAGTTAGAGAGCTAATTTTTTCAAAGGTGATTGTAAGTCATATTTTATATAGCATTTTGCTTGATTATTTGCTCTGTACTGAATTTGTACTCTATTGCCATTAGATCTTACAATAATGTTCCACTCTGCAAATTTTTAAGGTTCAAATAAAGTTTAATTGTTTCCAAACTGTTATGATGCTAATAATTCAACAGCCTGCTGTGTTACTAATGAAATTACTTTGTTATGATTAATTTGGAAAATAGTGTGTTGATTGTAGTAATTAAGCACAACAAGGTGAAGTAAATGATTCTAATGCCATCTGGCCTCCAAACTGAATGAAGAAATGAAATAGGACTGTCATCTGAATTTATTCAAAGAAGTAAAGATAATACAAATGACTTTCATTGCTATAGGACTTAGACTTATCCACAGATTACTGTTCTGTTTTTGCCACTTTGCTGCACATGACACTTTCTTTTATGAAAAAGAATGTTATTTAGTCCAGCCGTTGTTCTGAATACTTTATTTTAAGCTGATTATTTTTACCATAATTTAATTACAGATAATTACATAAAGTATTATAGGATCATGGAAAAATCACTTTTCAACCATCTGTAGGTAAAATCTATATATGCTGTATTTTGTTTTGTTTTTTGTTTTTGCCCTCAGTATACAAACCCTTTGAATATAACCTTTCACAATGAGTACCACTTTTATTCAATTATTCTTAAAATGTTTTCAGTCAACACTTTCTCATGGTTCTGTTGATTTCTGCTTTTCATATAATTCTCTAATCTATTGCTACTCACTTCTTTTTTGTTGTTGTTGTTTGTTTGTTTTGTTTTGTTTTTTGGTACCGGGGATTGAACTCAAGACCTTGCACTTGCAATGCAGGCGGTAGAACCACTGAGCTAAACCTCCGGCCCCTTGCTACTCACTTCTTAGACTCTGGTACTATCTAGGGTCATATGAAAAAATAAGGCTGAATTATAGATTCAGATTTGTAATTCAGCCACTAGAAGAAAGCTGACATTAAAAAGTTTAAAAGCTGGAACCTCATCAGCAAGACTGATTGAAGAAGCATTGTGAGAATTTCTAAGTCAAATAAAGGTCTTCCAAATTTTAGATAAGTATTTCAGTTGTTGAAGGGAATTACAAGCCAACCATAAAATATCACTTCTCTTGAGTTCAATATAGTCAGAATATTTTTTAAAAACCAAAATGGTAAAGAAGAAGGTATTAGTGTTCAAAATATGAACAAGCCATAGAAAATGCAGCTCCCCTGAGATTGAAAAAACAAATATGGTTAAGCATGGCCTAATCTGTCAGTAAAATCCTGAGTATTCAAAATTATAGAGAAATCGTATGGTGTTCAAGTGTCTTTCTACAAATTTTAATTTATATTCAAATGCATCAGAGTTTGTCCTCTGGGTTGGAAACAAGGTATTTCTGGACTGCCTCAACTTTAACACATTTTGAATCACCTACTTACTACTTTACCACTGAGTTCTTTAGGAATTGTCAGAATCCCTGATAGCATAGTGTTTTGCCATGATGAGATGAATACTTTTAAGATTATATGAACACAGTTACATGGAATGATTTTAATGGTATGTGTGAGGGGCTTTTTGTTGTTTTTACTAGTAGATTCTATTCTCTTGTTACTTAGACAAAACTATATGATTTAGTGCTAGCATGGTACAAAGAATAGGCTGTGCATCCAGTAAATGTTTGTTGACTAGTGTGGCAAGCCACCATAACTCAAGATCTGAGACTTAAGAAAAAAAGAGTTTGACCTCTATACATGGTAGAGAAAATATACCATGCACACCTGCTATACAGTAGTACACCTGCTTTTTAAGAATGTTTTTAGTCAAAAAGCCCCTTTTACTGAGTCTTTAGAAGAAAATTCCCATAACACCATCAACAAGTGTGTTGGATTTGTTAATAACAGGATGAAGGGAGAGTATAATTAGAAAGCTGAGTGTGACAGATAGTCTTTACACATTTTCCCCTTCCCTGTGTTCAGCTTTGTGACTCTTTCAAAGAAGGGGCACAAGGGATCCAGGCATCCTAGGGCAGGGCACCTCATTTCACTTTCCAGAATATACCTTGGGAACTGTCAGAGGAGCCTCTGCCCCGTCTTCTATGTTGGAAGCATTCTTTCCAGCTCCTTGGGTAGATCAAAAGGAAATTTCTAAAAGTGGGAACTTTCCTGGTTGTTGCCAAATCCAATTATAATTCTGTTTTTGTCTTTTTCTTCCAACCTTTACTCCCTATTTCCTTGAAGTTGTATGACTATGTTAACTTGAGTGCTTTATGTCCCCAAGATGAGTCACAAATGCACAAAGTAGCCTTCCTCATAGCCCTGATTAGCTTTGGTCTGTCATGTTTGGGAAAGGGCTGGGGGGAGAGTGCACCAGAACACTTGTGAATATGCGCAAAGGTGTGAAAACAGAAATTACTCCCAGAGCCCATCTCAAGTGCTTTGCTTACTGTTGGAACTTGGAAGGTATTTCCCTAGGTTTCGCTCCTCCGTTTTCATGGGTTTCCTTTTTATTATCTGTTGCTCAAAGAGGCAATACAGTGCAGCACTTGCTTGTATGTTTTCTCTTTATTGGCCTCAACTTTGTAATATGAAAATAGCACTTCTCTTAGAGTAAAAACAAGCGCCATATGAAGCTTGAACGGCAATTCACCTCTCATTTGAGAGGAGTGTCACACAGGTACTTTCAAAGGAAGAAATTAATGACACCAATATATGCCAGTTACAAACAACAACCTTAGAGGAGGACAAAGTTCCCACAAATCAGCATATTCCGACACACTGCATCCCCCACCCAGTCCACGGGGTAGCTGGTGGAGAAAACCTAGTGCTCCCACTATCATGGCAAGCCTAACAGAAACAGTTTAACCAGTAATAGTAACAGCTGACATGTCCTGAATGTTTATGATTTGTCATGCTTTATTTGAACTCCACAACAATCCTATGAGCTACTCATTCCTATTTTCCTGCTTAGGAAACTGAGGGAAGGTAATTAGTTCAAAGGTCCTAGGTAAAAAGTACCTAGTCAGGAGTCATACCCAACCTCCCTCCTTGCACTCAGCACCACTGAGCTGTGCTGCTTCGTGGTGCGTGCAGACTTTATTCCATGCATGTAATCGGCACTCAACAATTGCTTGTTGACCACTGATGATGACACCAGTCCTGTAAAATGGACTGGAGCATGTGAAAAGACTAGTGCAAGAATGGACTTTTGGAGAGCTGAACTCAGTGCACCATGGTGACCATATCAAATCCAAAGCAGCTAAGATGTACCAAAGAGTAACTTCTATCCAGGAACTTCAGCCCAGCTGAAAACAGAAAGTCAACCCAGGCAGCAGGGTTGAGAGAGGACAGAAGGTCAAGTGGATCCTTTTCTAATGACCTTTTGCCTTCTCTTCCTTCTCAAATGTTAAGCCCAAGTAAACTCTAAAGTCATGGTGGCCTGGGAAAGGGCTGTAAAGCTAGCTACTTCCATCTCAAAGATCACTTGTTTTGGGAAGATAGTTTTAATTGATAGGATAGTTTAAAATTTGATTTCTTCCCACTTTAAAGTTATTAAATTGTTCGGCCCTTTACAATCAGTGAAGAAACTTCATTATAAAATATTTAAATTTTGTAACCAAATGATGGCAATGTCTGACATGACTTGAGGTACGAATTTATTTAAGAATTTTTATTAGACTGTCTAGTAGTTAAGTACTGGATATTAATTGAGCATGAGGTTTTATTCCTCGGGCACCCACCTATTAGCCTGTACAGGGCTCTATTTTTGAACTAATCCTTTAATAAATTTTTTGTACCTCACTGATTAGAGGCTGGTGGGGCAAGGAGTGCAGATTAGCACCTAAGGAAGGACCAACCTGCACTCTGGAACTCAGCCACAGGAGGAGGTAAGATTGAACCCTCTTGTGGCCTAAAATGCACCCTGACGTATTGGCTGTCTATTGGCCCCAGAGGAATGGGTGTACCAATGTTGAAATTCCAAGGGGTATTTCCTGCTATGTAGTTTTTTGAAATGTTTCCATACCTGCTACCTACAACATCATGTTTCTAAAGGATGAGTGACTGACTTTCCATTGTCCCTAGCTCCAACTGCCCACCATGTAGATCTGGTTGGTGTAAAATAACCTGTCCAGTGCCCATGGGCACCCTATGCAGTCCTAATTTCAGGTCAAGCGCTGTGGCCTGTAGTGTCTTTGTGGCTCCCTGCCTTCATGTCCTGGTTCCACTTTCTCCCTCCTCCTCAGGTTTTTGCAAGGAGCTGAGTCACATGGGGCATGAGGCACTGCAATTCTTACTACCTCACAAAGTTACCAGAATATCATATCTGTGTGATCTCTGCTTTCTGTGAATCCAGGAAAAGCAAAGTATATAGCGCTGTGGTTATCCTGTTACCTGTGTCTGAAATGTAGCTATCTTGTGAGTGGCTATTGTTATCTATCTGTTGTTTTGCTTCAGTTGGTCAGCATATTTGCTTCATTCTTTATTATCATCTCCAGGCTTGCTATTTCTCTTCCTATCTAATTAAATGATTCCATTTTGAATAATTACATTTAAGTGCCAACAGTGTGTGAGGGGCATTTCAAACAGAATTCGACATAGTCTTTCCCAAGTACATTCATCATCTAAATAAAATAGGACGTTAACACAGAGATTATAAGCACAGCCTCAGGTGAACTTAACCTGGGAGCAGGTCTTACCAGTTTAAGCCACCAGCAGTATTAGAAGACAAAAGAAAAGATTCTTGGGTTTTGTTACATCTGACTTTTTTTTTCTGTCAGTCTCTCTGTCTCTGTCTCTGTCTCTCTCTCAGAAGGTTTCAGTATTGGTTCAGATGAGAGGATTGACTATTTTATAAAAATTTCCAAAATGCTCATACCCATTAAATTGAGTGTGAGGGGAAACGAGAGCTGCATGTGAATAACATGAACATCTTCTACAGAGCTGCTGCCAATTCTGGGAGCTCAGAGTGGTCCCTACCCCTTTAGGAATGTGAACCCTTCCTCAGGGGGAACATTGCTCAGCTGAGAGGAACAAAAAACAAAACCACAGAGACTGGCGTCACCTGAAACTTCAGCCTCCTTCTCAAGTGCACTGTGCCCTAAACTAAGAGTCCATGCCTGCAGGATGCCCGTGGCAC